TTAAGACTTGTTGTAAGTGATAAATATATGGGTTATTACTTCAATATATTTTAAATTTTATTTTAAATAAAATATTACATAAAAGAAAAAAAGTTTTCTTTTGAATCTTGGCACCCTTCACTAAAACATTTTGCCATTTCTGCACCTATCTCTTATTTTCACGTGGGTGGTCAACATAAATTGCCTATTCCATCTAATAGATTTTTCAGGAAAGCAGTCTCAGGGAGCAGAGTCCCTCATCCAATCCTACATGACTCTACAGCTTTCTGGTTTAGAAATGAGGTGCACGGTAACCAGGACAACTGCCCTAAACTTCTTTAGTAACCAGCACAAGTAGCTAAGTGTGCATATGCCCTGTGTGTATGTTCATAAGTTCTATAGAGACTAGTTTGGCATCTGTTCATTGACTCAGCTAAGTTTGTCTATTTTATTAAATAAGGGTGGTCTCTCACACAAAACTTTCCCCTCCATGTCATCCTTCATTGTTGATGCTGTTCATCACACATAGATTATACTCAAGTCTCCTTGTCAAAATCTCCACCTTCATAAATAATCTCAATTTTATAATCTCAAATATGGATGATCTGGTGCCTGATCATCCACATTTGCTCCTTATTTGTAATTCCAGTGAGAAATTGTTTACCAATTCACTGCCTAGTCAATCACACCCATAAACAATGTTCTTCTCATTCTTTTTATTTTTTTAAATTTATTTATTTTTATTTATATATTTTTGGCTGCATTGGGTCTTCGTTGCTACACGCAGGCTTTCTCTAGTTACTGGGAGCAGGGGCTTCTCTTCCTTGTGGTCCCCGGGCTTCTTATAGCAGTGGCTTCTCTTGTTGCAGAGCATGGGCTCTAGGCACGTGGGCTTTGGTAGTTGTGGCATGTGGGCTCAGTAGTTGTGGCTCGCAGGCTCAGTAGTTGTGGCACACAGGATTAGGTGCTCCATGGCATGTGGGATCTTCCTGGAACAGGGCTCGAACCTGTGTCCCCTACATTGGCAGACAGATTCCTAACCACTGTGCCCCCAGGGAAGCCCTTTCTCTTTCTTTATTTTTCTTCATTTTCATTTTTTTCTTTTTATTCTTTTTGAGACCTCCATTGATTACAAGGTTTTCCAACCTTTCTCTTCTTCCTCATACCAGTTAAATATATGTTCTGTTCAAATGTCTTTCCTTGCTCTTCTTCTTTTTTCCATTTCTATCTGGAATACCCTATTTTGTAACTTTAATTATAACCTGTATGGTGTGTAGTAGTTGATGCTATAAACTAAACCCATATCATGCTCTTACTTTACTATTGCATTTCCAAAATCTTGATAATCCCTTTTAGCTGAATATTCTATCAATGCTTTCAATTCAGCATGCCCCAAATCAATCAATACCTGTTGAAAAAATCAACTCAATCAATATCTTACCTTAAACCAGCTCCTCATGTTTTACTTTAACATATGGTTTGGAGTAAAACCATTCTTCTCATTCTCTCTTTAAAGATATCTCAATGTTACTTTTACAAAAAATAAAAGTGAATTATTTCATTAAATGCCTTTTCATTGTACTGGCTGGCTTTTGTAAAACTAATGAATCTCTCCATGCAGATAAACTTTAGAAATGTTGTTTATTTGGATTTATACCCATGGACAAAAAATAAACCTACATTAAGAAAAAGTAGATGTCATATTGTTGATATTAAACAACGCTTGAACTTTTAAAATTCTGCAAACAAAACATCTGTCACTGCTTGGTTGCTAAGTAGGATACAAGTGTGCTCTTTATTGAATATGTCATTGATTATAATACTTACATTGTAGTTTCTTTTGAAAAGTTTCAGGGCTCACTTTTTATACATAGTGCTCCACTTAGATGATCAGAAACAATTATACATATTAGTCAAGACTACAGAACATAGAAAAAAATGTTTGCTAAGAAGAAAATCAGTTCTTTTCTCTGCTTTTTAAATTCAACAGATGAAACTTTAGAAGATCAAATTATCTTATAAACTGTCTTTTAAGAGATTTTGTTATTTGTATGATCCATGACCCTTTTCAAAATATGTTGACACATCAGTTAACTTTAAAAGATCATAAAATGTCAATTGTTAAGTTTGACAAATGTGGGTGACTCTGTTCTGGTCATAAAGATTTCTTAAATTTGTAGAATGTAAAAAAAAATTCGTTGGCAATTTCATTTTTGAAGGTGAACAGAGGAATGACAATTATTTTTGAAATTTTATTTTTAGAACCATTTACAATCCATTTTGTGCCTAGTATAATGGGACAAAAAGGGGACATATTTACAGACAATGAGGGACAATGGGAAGCCTCCTACTTACAGCTGCATAAATCTAATGTGAGCATATTTTACATAGAGTTATATCCTCTTTCTATATAGAAACAGATGTGGATTTGCCACCTGTCTGTTGTGCGGTGGGTTTTAGCATTTAAAAATCAGCCAAACTTTGTTCCTTTAATAGCATTTTCTGTTTTGAAGCTTTTATTCTTTTGTATTGTGTGTGGGTATGTACTATTTCCCATATTATTATCCAATCTCTATGAAGTCAGGGTCCATATGTTATCCTTAAGAAGAGTGCTTTGTATACATTGTAATTCTCAAGGGTATAGTTAAGGGTATGGATAAAATGTTAGTTAAAATCTTTTTATCTGTCAATGTAATTATAACACATTGCTTTAAGTTTTGACCTCATCATGCAACTGAATTTCAAGCAAATTTTAACTATTATTTTAATTGCAAGATAATTAAGTCAAGAGTGTAATACAAAAGTTTTGTTCATGCAAACTGATTTATATAAATTTATCAATAGAAGATTAACCTTTATTTCATGTCTGCCAATGTTAAATCTGCAGGCAACATTCATTAATGTCTTTAATAAAATTAAAAAATGCTAACCTGGTATTGTTTATTTTCTCATTTATATTTCTAATCATTGCATTTTTATAATTGCTTCAAATAGATTTTTATATAAAAATTTATTTTAGAGGATATAATATTTTAATAAATATATAGATGTCAAGGAAGAATTATTGGTGTTCAATAGTATGTGGTATTTTTTGCAACACCTGATGAGTCTCCAGTTCTATCTTGATTTATATTCTATTTTTCTGATTTGTATTTTGGAGAGTGAAGTAACTAGAGTAACTAGAAATTCTCCCTGTTTCATTAACTGATGCTAAATATTTTAAAGTTCTACAGAACATCATCTTTTCCAGGAAGCATGTTCCAGAAGAATCAAAGACATGAAAAAAATCAATGAAGCTTAATATTTTTTATAATATAACAAGCAGTAAGACTATCACAGCATCAAAGTATTTTAAGATAGGATGAGATTATCTATTCTAGCCTATAAACTAACATGATAAAATCTGCAAGAATCCTGGCAAGCAAATTTCTCTCTTCTCCTTTATTATTCTCATCATAAAGCTGAAAATTATTGTGGGGGTAATTTCAATTCAAATTAATATCCCTTATATCAAACCATAAAGTTTTCTTTTTTTGGCTTTAGGACTTACACTGCTTTCTTAAACAAAACAACACACAAATTTGATCCTTTGACCACACTGTATTTTTTATGTTCTCATAACATATGTAATACATTCTGTGTCTTCTAAGTCATCATGGTGATATTAAAGACTTTATACTCTTTTAACATAATTCAGTATCAAAATATTTTCAATAAGTCTTGTTTGGCATATCTTTTTTTGCTCTTTGGCTGCACCACAAGGCTTGCAGGATCTTAGTTCCCTGACCAGGGATCAAACCCAGGCCCCATCAGTGAAGTCCCAGAATCCTAACCACTAGACCCCCAGGGAATTCCCTGTTTGGCATACTTTTAAGATAGACCTCTGAAGGTCACTATCACCTACCTCACCCATATATTCTTTAATTTCTCCTAAATAAATTTTTAAAGACCAAAATTGGAAACAGTATTTTAGATGTAGTCTGATCTGCGTAGTTGATGACAGAAAATTATTCTTCTTTATAATAAAGGGGTGGTCAGTGACAAACCTCTGAGATTCAACATATAAGGTATGTTGTAAAATGTTGTGCATTTTGTAAAATACTGTGACTGTATTTAATCAATTATGTTGCTCAATTGACTAAAGAAAGTATTATTGTTTGCCCTTATGATCTGTTCAGCTATATCCTTCTCTACTTGATTCCCACATTAGAAATATAAAATAATGCATGTTTTAATAGACATGTAGAATATCTTAAGGCTTAAGGAAAATGTAAGCATTATACATGTTATTTTAGCAACTCAAAGATAACTAGTATTAAAATGTAGGTGTGACCTTCTAGTTTATTTTCTCCTTTTCAAGTAGTAGAATGGTCAATAGTATAGGCTTTGAGAATCTCCAAATAATAGTTTTTTAGTTAATATGTATGTATGTATGTATTCATTCATTCATTCATTTATTCGCTTACTTTTTAATTGAAGTATAGTTAAAGTTCTTTTTAGCATCTGCCCCTTACATCTGCCCCTTTGTGTAAGTCTAGGACTGAAAACTCAGAATTGCACTGGAAAAGAATTTCAGAGGGGTGAGTGAGTGCATCTTTTCTGTATCAGCTAATTTCAAGCAGGGTTTCCCAAGGCACTAACATTCTTATTTTTAAAAGGCTGAGGCTGGACAAAGATTTCCTATAACTCAATTTAGCTTCTATGAGTTAACAGACAGTTTTACCTTAGGATTATTTTAGTAAAAACCACAACATTCCAACAAGTAAATTATCAACTCAGTTGTGGTATTTAATGTGAAATTCCATGACTATTGGTGTTTTACGTGAGAGCAAGACAGTTCATTAAAAGTCAGTTTGCCCTTTGCTTCGTCTATAAGATTTATGTCAAAAGGTAAACTGATCTTTGGTGATTATGACTGATTTCTATCAACATATAGCTTCTGATACTATATTATTACGTTCCAAGTTGATACAATTCTGTTAGTGCACAATGTTCATAGTGTATAATACTTCTTTGTAAAGCAAATGTGAAGTAAATTAAAACAACTTTTTATCTGAATAATATTTTAAAAATCATTGAATAACTTTTCTCTAAATCTTTTTAAAAATACTTGCAGTCATGTATAAAGTTACAGAGTCTCAAGAAATATTTTTAAAGGAAAATATTTTAATTTGATTTGGTGGAATTTTTTAGATTTTAAACTTTCATGAACAATGCATCTATGAATGAGGACAAATTATTTCTTTCAGTTTTGCCCTGGTGGGGTTGGTGGTGAGTTTTGCTTTTTTTTTTTTTTTTTTTAATTTTTTCCATGCATATGACACTGTTTCTTTTTTAGTACCAGAAATTTCCTCATGCAAAACTAAGGTAATATACTTCAGTGCTGGGCTTCACCAAAAATATACAAATACACATCCAGCATTGTAGAGTTTTATATTTGGAATACTTTGTGTTTCTGCTTGACTCCATTATCATGGATAACATACCAGACTTTGTGATGAATAACTTGAAATTAAAGCATTAAAAATGTAAAAGTTAAGTTTTAGTCCCCAAAGAAGATCAGTTATTAATACAAGAATTATTTTATATTGCATGGATATCATGAAGATTATTTAACGGGTTAGCTATGAATAATCCACAATTATATTTTATGTACTTTTCTGCAAAGAGGGAGGATATAAACTGTAAAGGCAATTAGAAAAGGGCTTAAGAGCCAATAACTATGAAATCAGTGATATCTCAGTAGTGTTTTTGAGAAACTGGTTTGGTCTGGATTGCTAATTCTACACATACTTTCCTGAAGCTGCCTAGAACTGTTTCAGACCACAGGTTGAAGTAACAAATAATTAGCGACATTGCCTTGTAAATTTCACAGGCTGCAGGGGTCCTACTAAGTTTTTAATTAGAATTATGACTAAATTATTCATTGTCTTTGGGAATTTCCCTGAGGAGGGAGCGTAGTTGAAACTTGCACAAGATAAGAGAGATTTGCTACTTAATATATTGAAATCATTGGAAAAATTATGGGAGGAGATTTTATCATTTGGTGAATTTCATTGTCTTAAAATTCATTCCTCATTTCTGACACAATTATTAGCTACACAAAAGTTAATTTTTTTAAAATAAATGATAATAGAAAATCTATGAATACTTTTGTCCCTAGTTTCTTGTGATAAATGTCTTACAGATTTCTATAGCCTTGCTACTTTGTGGTAAGTCCTCCATTCTGTTGCCTTATTCTCTTGGTTGCATGTATTAAAATGTAGCTCTGTAGTTCCTCAGATTACCACTATTTTTATAGTGTTTAAATGAGAGGAAATAGCCCACTTTTAGCATATTGAAACTATTTTGGGTTTATATTGATACATTTTGGTAACATTGTAGCAATAAATCTTGTAGTTATTTTCTGATCTTTTTAATTGGTAGATTCCAGTTTATTAAACTGTCCTATTCATAGAAATTATAATAAATTCTTAGAACTTTCACTCACTACCTAAAGTCATAGAATTTAACATCAAGCAATTATTTCACTGTATGATTAAGTCCCCTTTTGGTCCTATGCAGTTTAGTACTTTAAAAATTGGCTTCCTTTATTCTAGATGATAATAAGCCCCATGCACCTTTCATTGTAGGGTTACAATTCGTTTCTACTTTACAACTGATTCTGGGAGTGTGAGTATGTATGTGTGTGTGTTATAAGTTTATAAAAATCTAACCTTTCACAGTGGGGTTCTTTGGTAATTGACTCATTTAGCTGTTCTCTAATCTGAGTCACTCATATTAGGAAAATGTCCCTGTAATTATTTTATAGCACCATCATTGTCTTGTTACAAAAATAGTTCTTGCAGGTAAAAGGAGGTTTCCTATTTTTAGAAGATTGCACTAAAATGATGTTTGCTTTTTCTCTTCCATTTCCCTGCATACAATTCAAGCCAATGCACATTGTATATGGAATTTTTCTTTCCACAGCTAAGGCTTATTATATTTCATTTAATCTATTTTCAATATTAATAGCACCAAAGCTAGTTGTTCCAACTATTTGGTGATGCAATTTAGTGAAGAATTTGTAAAAGTGTAACAGGAATCAGGAAAATAGGAATAAATGTACTCAAAATTTGAGAAACGTTGTAGAGTGTGAAATACTTTGGCATAACTTTGAATATTGTAGTTAGGTGAAAGTCAGTATACATGGGTTTGTTGTCTTTATAAAGTCACAATTTGTCTTAAAATATTCCGTGAATGCTTATGTTATTTTTTGTTGCTATTAACTGAAAATAGTTGTTTTAATGATGGTAAGAAGTAGCCATAGTTGAAAGACACACCTCATGATGGCTGATTTACTAGGAATCTGGAAAAGGGAATACTCAAGAGAAGTAAATTTATACTCTGTTTTCTGATTTTTCTCATGCTTTCTATTAAAATTTAAACATTAGAAATGGAATATAATAAATACGTTTATATTTATGTTTGTAAACACTTTAAGAATAATAGTTAAATATTCACACAAAATATGTACCATTGCCATTAGCTAAAACTATCATCAAATTTTCTTATGCACTGTGTACAACATGGAGCTTATACTTAATTCGACACTTAATTAGACACTATGATGCAGATATAGTGTACTTGCCCAGTTCCTGAGCACTTCCAATCTGATTTCAGCAAGAATAAGATCATTGACTAGTCAAAAATATTAGACTATATTTCTTCTCTGTATAAGAACAGATTCATTATAGATAATAATTGAAAGATCATATATGAATTAACCAAAAAGCCTTTCTTCTCAAACTCAATTTCATAGCAATTAGATATACTCAGGCATAGATTTATGTTCAGTGACATTTATTTCAGGAATAATTGTAAAGACAAAAACGGCACTGAAATATCTATCAAGAAGGCTACAGTTGAATAAACAGTGAGGCATGCACATCATAGGCTACTATGCAGACATGTTAAAAATAAAGGTCTGGATCAGGATATGATCAACTCAGCAGGATAGATTGTTATGTGAGAAGCAAGCTGCAGTAGGTAGCATGATCCTATTCTTATGAAACTGAAATTGGGATAGTTTCACTCCCACCAGAGAAAGTCACATTTTAGGAATAAGGGGCTGCTTGTAGATCACCTTTCTTTAGAACATGTCAAAAGGTTGAAAAAAAAATTAAATATGTTTTAAAACAAATGAGAGGTAAAATGGCAGTGTTTTTCACCGAACCAAAGTATGGAAGAGGACGGATATCCAGAGTGATAAGCCATGGTGTTCACTTGGTACATCTGCCAATTTTGAACAAGTTGCTCGTAAGGTTAAGAAACTAAACAGCACTTCAGACAGCCTCAGAGGACTGAGAGAAAAGCCACCATTTGGCACTGAATAAAGGAGGTTGCACAATAAACTTCTTTGTTTACATGGGCTGAAACCGCAAAGGGACCACGACTTAAGAGAAACAGCGACTTGGAAATAGATAAGACTATAGATAGACAATGATTATGGGCCCATTTTAAAGTATCTCAAATGTTGAAATTAGATTCTGGTGATACTGGACTACTACTGAGTTGAATGGACTTGAAGAAGCAAACATGTGAAATTGGAAGAAAGATAACTTCATCTCATGCCTCACATAATTTCTACAAACAATTTTAAAAATGTAACAGGTTCATAAATAACATAACCATAGACATAAAGAAAAAAGACAACTTGAGAAAAGTATGCTTTCTCTGTTCAAGGGAATAATGGCAAGATGAAGAAGCTATAAGAAAGCTGAGTAAAATTTCTAAAATTGAGAAAAAGTAATAAGTGAAAAACTGAATATAGAACTATAACACTAAATGAAACAGATGAAGGCAGAGGTGTGATGATTTGTAATATGTAATATAGAATGAAGCTCAAACAGTTGAATGAGTTGGGAAATACACATATATTGTGAGATATATAAGGATAAAATAATGTGTAACAAGCAGGTATTTGGATTCCCAAAAGGAAGGGTGTAGAAGCAATATTAGGAGAGATAATGAACAAAAATTGTGCCAAAAGGTTACACAACCCCAAATCAGTTTCAAGAAGTCCTTAACACCGGAGGCAAGATTTAAAATATCCGCATTTATCTCTATTCCTCTATCTCTTTACCTATCTATGTATCTCTGTGTCTATGTATCTACAGCCTGTATCTACTGATTCCCCTATTTATATTCCCCTCAACATTTCACAGCAAAAGTACTGAAAACTAACAAGGAAATGAAATCTATGTAACTTTTTTTCTTAAGATATAATTCACATACCATAATACTCACTCTTCTAAAGTGTACAATAAAATCATTTAGAGTAAATTCACAATGTCATGAATTCTTCATTACTATTTAATTCCAGAACATTTTCATTACTCCCGATTTTTCTTCCCTTCAACCTCTGGTAACCACTGATCTATTTTCTATCTCTAACGATTTACCCATTCTGGATATTTCATATAAATGAAACCATAAAATATGTGATCTTCTGTGTAGGGCATTTTTCACTTAGAATAATGTTCTCAAGATTCATTTGTGTTGTAGTATGTATCAATAGTTCAATCATTTTTATTCTTGAAAAATATTCCATTGCATGTATATACCACATTTGTTTATTCATTCCTCAATTGATTTGGGCTATGGACATTCATGTATAAGTTTTGTGTAGATATGTCTTTATTTTCCTTTGATATATTCCTAGAAATGAAATTGGAATGATAATGACATTTGAATTTTATGTAATTTCCATGTGTCAGAAATGGTATTCTATTTTTTTTATTTTTTCTTCAACTATTTAAAAATGTAAAACTAATTCTTAGCTCATGGACAGTAGTAAAATTGGCAGCAAGCAGACTTTGGCCCATGTGCCATACTGTGCCAATCTTTACTCTGTCTTCCTGGAGAGAATAACTGCACTGCAACTCCTCTTAGGCAGCAAAACCATGCCTTCTACATTGGCTTCACCCCACTGTATACCTGCCTACATCTTCCTTCTTTAAGGGTAACAAAGATATTTCCAATTTTAAGTT